TCTGTGGCGCAATACGAGTTCTGTATGTGTGATATATATATATATATATATATATATATATAATATATATATATAAAATATATATGTATATATATATACTGTATTCAAAGCCCTAGAGTGAAGAGAAGAGAAAAAAGTGGGTGAGGGAGGGGTGTGGGTGCCCTGGCAGTATCCCAGCCCTCGCACAACCATGACATACACAACCTCTCACTCGGGCAGCTGACGACAGCCAGTGACTTTTCAGGTAAGTCAACCATAGGCGCACGCGTGTGAGTCAAACTTTGGAAAGGAATGAATGCCGAAAACAAACATCAACTGATATATCGGTCGATGTGTGGGACATTCCTGGGCTCCGTTTATTCAGCCTGCAAGCTCACGGCCTCTCCACGGCCCGTGACTACAAGTCTGCATACACCTAGCCATATATACAGCGTATTATGGATAAAAGTCGTCCTTCGGAAAGGGGCATATTCCCAGTATAGATGCTCGAAGCTCATGTAGGCGTTCTAGTTCAGCAAACTCTCAATCCTTTGTTGAATAATATGGACACTCGGAGCAGTAGCTATTTGTCGGCCGATCTCCATAAACACACCAATCTGTATCAAGCACTTCGGGGGCGAGATGGCTCAAGTGGTTAGAGCGCGAATTTACTGACCGGAAGGTCCGTGGTTCAAACCCGACCTCTGCCTCTCGACTTTCCCTGCCTATGCTTGGGCAACCTGACAGTATCCCAGCCCTCGTGCTTCTTTCGGGTGACATGGCAGCTAGGCACCGAAAGGGCGCTACAGATACATCTACGATTATTATATCAAGCACTTCGATCAGAATACAAACCACTGTGACACAAGCTACAGTTCGCTAGAACCCAGGCCCTCATCAGGCGAAGAACCACCACAACGCTACTGCTTAACGATTAGGAGAAAATCGCTTCAGCAGTGGATAAGGTTGTACCAGGTTCATCTTACGACCTCCGGAAGAGCCATACCTAGCAACGCCCAGAAGTTGTGATAGCTCTGACATACGACAAGAATATGATACTTTTTCTACGCAGTACTCGAATGAAGCACCACGGCTCAAATACTGCCGATCTCACAAGCCTGGAAGAGAGTAATCGAGAAGCCAGGGTTCGATTCCAACGACGATTCCAACGATTCACTCAGCTGATAACTTTACGCCCTACAAGCTGTGCTACCTTAAGGTCTCTGACCTTTGATAGCATCTGACTCCTTAAGCATAGCTTCGCTGTAGATTTACCTTATCCAGCACACAGCGCCAGTAACAACTGCGAATCATCTCGGGACTAGTCCTCCACTGACAGCAAAACTAGACAACATTGATGTTTCACTACTGTATAACAGGTCAATCTTTTTTGAACAGAGTGTTATAACAGAAAGAACAATTCCATTTTCTGATAATATCGCTTACACTGAAACAGGATGGATATTAGGGAGCACAATTCCGCACCTTGGAAAATGCGGCCAATAATGCATGCCGTTGCTCGGAGACGTATTTCCTGTAGATGGAATGCACTATTCCCAGCAGCATCGATTAGACTCCACAAGAACATATCCCCTGTTGATCTGTTCGTCGAGCTAGGTAATTACCTTACACATATTTGGCTACCACAGGATGAGACATCATCAGTGCGCAGTTGGGTACGCGACGATGAAGTCTCCTCATTTGGTGACGGAAGTAAATTGACAAGCTCGGTGAACAGATCAATAGCTAACTGATCAACAACCAATTAACGAACCCGAGCTACCAATGGTTTGACACATTACCTACCTCTGGTGTTCCATGGGAACGCACCAGCAAGTTTTTGGTGTCAGAACTACATTAAGTCAACAGTGCTTTTGCCAACAACTGACCCATCAGCCTAGCGGAGTTCAGAATTAACAGATACACTGACTACAGACGATGCCCCCTCGTCAATCCAGCATATGAAATGGTTGACTGTAGCCCTCATTCACCAACACACTGTACACTCAGCGTCACAAACCTATTAACCGGATATCTTCGACCTGTGTGGCTAAGCTAACCGAAGATCTGAATAAGCATATTGATCGCCCATTTCTCTCTGAGCGAAATCTCAAGAGTTCACAGGATATGATACAATGAGTGGCGATGGTGAACGGCTTCAGAGGTTTTGCACTAGCCACTGTTTACCTGGCGAACTGCAAGTTCCGGCAGTGTCAATGGAAAGGTACTACGTGGCACCCGCTGCCCACTACCAAGCATTGAACCCAGGTGAATTATATGGCCACCAGTCATCGGTGGCCTATTTATTCGAAGACCATCGTTCCCATTGGAGCAATTGAAAACAACCCATTTAAGCAATTGCGTGAGCAAAAGTTAGAGGGATTATGTGGGCCGTTATCAAAAGCCTACTAATTCCTCAATGTGGCGCAAGCAGGACGCACACCAAATAACCACGGTCGTGCCAGTTGAACAGGTTGGGTTCTTAACCAGAAACGCCCACACCGGTCCAATGATGACAGCATCACACAACTTATTGTTAGGTCATAAATAAATTTTTTGCTCGTGAGAAACGGACTCATGGTCAGTACCCCATTCTACCGAGGCTGCGCACGAACAAAGAGCCCGGCTACCCCATGGGTCCCATTTGAATGCACCAGGGATGGAGGAGGAAGCTCGTACAAAAGCCAAATTCAATCACCCATGGAATTTTCATCGGAAAGATAAGGAGGGGAGCTGTGAGTTGAAGGCAACAGTTTGGACTCATGAGCGCCATTAGTGGCGACTGGACCATGTCTGACGATGTCGCTGACCATTAGCTACTATCTCAGACGGCTCATTCGCAAACACGAGATTAGTGTTCTCGTCCACCCAGTCTTGAAGCAACACTTAATTAACACTTTGTCGGCCTGAAACACATGCCAAGCCATGGGGCAGAATTATTTGGATTGTTAAATCTTGTTTGCACTACGACGGCATCAGATCCAAAAATAGCTATGTCGCCTGTGTATTTTACACCTGATTAGATTTCGATTCCACAGACATTAGAAGCTGGTATTGAATCTTCCAGAATCGTACCAATAACAAAGTTGAAGAGGAAAGGTGGGAGAGGACAGACTGGCCTGACACCACTTGATGCAGTGAACTCAGGCGAGGGCTTCCCGTAGACCTTCACACGTCTGTGGAGTAGACGTAGAGTGCCTCAAGAAGAGCTATGAATTTATGGAGGACACCTTTGTTCCACAGACACTGTCATAGTGCCTGACGGACCAGTGTCAAAGGCACCTCTCAAGTCGACGAAGACCACCATTGATATTTGGTGGAAGCAGTGTCGCTGTTCCAGAATCTGTCGGAGAGTGAAGATATTACTGACGAATCCTCTTCCAGGACGTAAGCCAACTTGGTCTTCACAGATCAGTCAGCCTTCGTAGGACAAGACAGGAAAGCACCATCGATGCCACAGTTGCCAGTCTGATACCATGGGGGCTTTAACACAGCATCTGCGTGCCCTTTTCGGAATCAGGAATAACTGTCGCTTACCCCGTTTTGCAGGCCCTTTCTATTAGCTCCATATTGCAGGAATCACTTCGTTAGGAGTTATCAGGGACTCGCCACCATCTTCGAACAGGACTACATGCAGACCGTACGGTCCTAGTGTCTTCTCACATTTCGGTACGAATAATTTGTACTTTACCTCTTCTTCCGACAAGCGAATAAGCTTTCCATTGCATGTACCCGTATGTAATGTCTCCATACGCTGATTTGCAGGGGGCTAGCTGCAATGTTCCTCGAAGTATTCGGCTCATCTTTCCAGTAGGCGTTTTTTTTTAGTGAAGTAATGAGCCGCCTTTATCACTTATCGTTTCACTGACCGTTGCTTTTTAGTAGCTGGTCGATCGTTACAGTTGATACAGAGCACAGTCATTTTCGCCAGCAAAATCCCTCTCCATCTCTTGGCTTTTGATGCCCACCTGAGGTCTCGGTCTTTCCTTAGGTTTTCCACTAGTTAGCGTTTCAGGGAAATTTGCTTAGCCCTAGTACTCATTGCCCACTGGTGTGTTTCCTGGCATGATTGGTGATCTCGACAATATCCAATGATCTTGTGGTCGAATCGGAGAAGTCGGCATACAGCACTAGAGGGCGCTGACATAGTTCCTTTCACATTTTGCCATGCTTCACCCACGTACTCACTACCAGGACAGTATTGGTTTACTGAAGAGAGTTGTTCATTCTGTTGCATGTGCAGAGTGATCTCAGGATGTCAGCAACCTTCAGACTGTCACCCAGGATCATCTTCCCGCCTCTCTGGTACCGGCTGCCTTCTGTCGTGTTCAATGAGGAAAAAGAAAACATATCCGAATACCAGTTGGACAAATATGGGGCATTGTTATATATTTGCCCTGTTTTTCAAACGTTTCATCATTTATTGCTAAATCACTTCCTTCCGTTTTCAGCTCTCAGTGTCAAAGTTTTGGACAAATAAAGCCTAGCCTTCGGGCCCTCAGTCTTTTCCATTGTCATTCCGATTGTCGCTGCACTCCGACCCTCGTCGTACACAACAATTTATTCATCCAAAAAAAAATTTCTCCGAACAATGGATCGATTCTTACGCCCTGAACGACTCGATAACGACCCCAATACTCAAGAATCGGCAGATGCCTGGGAGCAGTGGTTTTGTACTTTCA